TCCCTTGGGATTTGGAAAAGCTTGAAATACCCGTTGTCATTGCTATAGTGTGACACTAACTGTCCGCAGCCAGAACGCTCCGTTCCAACATCTGAGCTGACACTGCTCCAAAGAGCCTTCCCGGGGCCAGAGCTCCCGGGGGGCACGAGAGCACTCTCTGCTATTGCACAATATACTAGATTTTTTGTAAGTCTTTCACATCTAGCTCTGTTACAACTAACAAGGCCAGGAAAGGCTCACATGGACTTTCTTAACTCCCAGATGCACAACACAGCAGTATGCTTGTATGCACCTTGTAAAGAACTATGACATGCAGTGTCCAAGCAGCTTGCAGTTTTCAGTATTGTGACCTGGCTAAATTGAGATAAAACTTCACTAGCCACACAAAGGCCCTTTTCTTGCAGGAGGACTCTCTCCATGCTAAAATTACACCAACAGCTATTGCAGCTACAAAGCTTTACCAAGGCAGGGAGACGGCAAGAGTTTTTTTTTTTTTTAATGGAAAAACTTTATGCTTTGGCACTCTTCAAACTCTAGAAGAGTAGAATTGTTTTCACTCAAACTTGAAAGAGATTTGCTGTACAGGAGCGATTAAGCCTGAAAAAATCTCACCAAAGGGGAAAATCTTCAGAATGTTACAAGTGCCTTAAAACAGGGGATTAGAGAGAAAACCCTCACACAGCCACAACCCAGGAGATAATTGCTAGCCACCCTAAAAAACAACATCATGTTTTCTATTCTCTTCTGACCAGAAAAATCCAGTGCCCAACCGGGCCAATTTTCAACTAGTTCAGGCCTTTTTCCAGGTGACAACAATTAAACTCTCACACGAACGAACACACCACATACACCCAAGAACAGAATAATCCCCTGGCCTGGAGTGTCTTTACCTCCCATCAGCTCGCACCAGCTACGTCTACCTCTCCACCAAGCCATGGGGCAGTCAAATTCCCTCCTCACTGGGGTCAACCTACCCTCTGCAGAAGGACCCTTCAACAGCACTCTTCCAACCTCTGTAGAAAGCTGGTGCTCATCGGGCCAACTTAGGATTTTGAATAAAAAGTGGACTGTCCTCCCCAAATATTATAAGAACAGACTGACCAAAACGTGCATGTGAATTAGTTAGAAATACTGCCCACCAGGGATCAATTCTGATGTTAATAAGTAGAATTGCCTCTGAACGCTAAATCCTCTTTACAAAGTCATTGGTTTGCCATAGCTGAGCCTGTTTCAAATGGGTGACTTCTCCTCTCCACTGAACTTTGCATGGCAAACGCATGGCTCGGCGCTCTTTGTTTGGATGCTCCTCTTTTGCTTGGCTGGATGGGCATCCGGAAAGAAATCACCATTCCCACACATGACAGCTTTGCTCTTATTACCCCCACTACAAAGACAGAAAGTTTACATATAATGCAGACTCTCACAGCTAACCTCATTCGGCGCTTAAGGGGGAAAAGCCACAATGAGCATTTGATGGATCCCAGAAGATGCGAGCAGTTCAAAGCGATTCTAAGAGACTGGAAACCAAGTAAGGACATTTTCCATTGTCAGATGCCAAGTATTGTAAAAATAAATAATTGAGACTTTTAAATTGGGCTGCTATCACCCTGTGCAACCTCTTACAACAGATTTCTCTTTAGATTAAAAAATGAACAAAGGCTCATTGTGCTGTCACAGATGTGGAGCACAGAATATTCAATAGCATCGGGAATTCTGGTGGAAGGGAAAAGATCATCAGAATTAGCTTGCTGCTCATTTCTTTCCCAGCAATCCAAGCACTACCATGCAATTTAAAGGTTTTTTTTTTTGTTTTTGGTTTTGTTTTTTTTTAAAACTTTTATAGGCCAGCCAATTTTTTGATGAATCAGGCAGCAAGACGCAGAGGCAACAGTTATGTGGTTTATTATGTACTGCTTTAGAGACTTAGAGTATTTTCAGAAGAGCAAAACATACAGGCATAGCAGGTAGATGGCAAATCCGTGCTGAGTCGTGAAACACAATTTTTGAAATGTTTGCTTTAAACGATGGAGTTAATCGCTGAATATACTAATTCTTAATTAGTACCTTTTGCTGCTTATATTGTAAGAATAAATTATTCTCAACCACTCTTACAGCCGGATTTAAAACCTCTTGCACAAAAACAAACTGTGCTAAGATTATGAATCACACATGATTTTCTTTTTTAATGGAAAGCCCCTATGTAACTTACTTCTGCGTTAAATATGTGCATAGATTTCTAGCAAACTGGATGATGTGATCCATTTGACTGGAATAAAAATCACCTACAGACATAATGTAATCTTCACTGCAGCACTGAATATCCAGAGCAACTGTCCTGCAGTCACTGGGTTTAGCAGAGTGTGAGATCTATGCTGGGGTAATCAAGACTGATGTTTGGCTTCTCATTATACTCTCTTAAAAAGAAACTTATAACATATTCTCTATCTGCTTAGAAAAGAGGGTGGGGGGAAGAGAGTGAATCGTGATGTTTTCCAGTTCTCCTACTAGAGCTTGATATAATAAAACAGAGTATACGGCATTCTTTTAAAAAGATAAAGTTGAACAGGAGCAGATAATGGCATGTTTTTCCTGCCTAGTCTATTATTCATCAGTGAATTTTTAACTATAGTTAGGCAGGTAAAGAAATGTATTTTGAATGTCATCACTTAGTATTTTACAGTGCCTAAAAGCGTGCTGGGTAAATTGCAAAACAAGGAGTCAGACAAGGTCTTTGCCCTAAAGTAATTGCAACTTGATAATGAATACAATGTAAACCTGAAAAAATGAGGGGAGCTGAAACAACAGGAAGAACAAAGATCATACGAGTGAAACAACAGCATTTAACTCAGTTTAGATATTTGTATGCCTTAGAAGTATGATAAACACCCCTTTAATCTTTTTTAATAGTTAGCATGAATTATTGATTCACTATCTACAAACAGAGTAGATACATCTATATTATGAAGAAAGTCAAGACTGGATGATTTAAGAGTCTTTTCACCCTGAAAGGGTTGGGTAAGTATTGCACATCCAACAATAATCCTGCCCAGCATTTAACCCTGCAAGAGGTCCCGTCACAGCGCAGC